TAATAGAAATTTGTTAAACATACCTCATAATTTTTCATAATATAAGAATTAGGATATCTATTCAATTTGTGTATGTTGTTTTAAATAACGGTGTTTTAATTCAGCGAATTATTTAATTCCTGCAATAATCTTTTTATAGTAGAAATACTTATAATACTTATATGTAGCATTTTTGGTATATATATGTAATATCTGTATATATTTAATAACACACACACACACATATATATATGTAATATATATATATATTATAATATGTAATATATATATGTAATGTATATATATATATTATATATATGTAATCTTTTGGTTTTATTTGGAAATTTTTCTTTTAATGTGTCTGAATATATTTTATTTTAATTGAATATATGATTAAAAAAGATTTTCTAATGCGTGGTATTAAAAAAAATAATTGATGTTTTATTTTGAACATTTTTCCAGTCAATATAATTAAAAATATATTTTCGCATATTTATTTTAAATGTCTTATTTTGAAGATTAATAACGTGTTTTTAACAAAAATATTAAATTGTATTACTTGGGAGCAATAATTTATTTCTTCGAAAGTATTTTTTTATAAATAGGTCTTAGGATATCGAATATTTATATCGAATGCTGAAAAAAAAAACATTCGCGTAATATCTAATATAATCATTAAATAGTAAAAAAAAAAAGTATCTCATAGATGGCAACTTGTCAAGGGGAACAGCTAACTAACTTTCTCCTAACTTTTTTTGATTTAGTAACCAAAATCGAGCTTATTTCTTTTTTTCTGTTCGAAGAAAAACAGTTTAATATGATAAGAAAGAACAGATAAAATTAAAAAATAAAATAAAACAGGGACCTCCGTAGCCGGGTGATTAGAAACCTGCAGGTAGCGGGATTAAATCCCACTGTAACTTGTATGTTTTTGAGCTATTTGTTATTCTATGTGTCTAGCGTTGGTTTATAAGCCGTTACAGCATAAAGTTCACAAGCTCGAATATATATATTTAAACAAAAAAAAAAAACAAAACGAACTATAATTGATACGTAAGGAAGAAAAAAAAATCTGCACTATCAATAATTAGTTCATTCATATACATAAATTTAAGTTTTCATTTGGCTTNAAAAAAAAAAAAAAAAAAAAAAACAAAAAAAAAATGAACTATAATGTAAGGAAGAAAAAATCTGTGCTATCATTAATTAGTTCATTCATATACATAAATTTAAGGTTTCATTTGGCTTGAGTTTAATACAGCGTTAAATGCTTTAACTAAATTAGCAAAAATAGCATTTATTAATGGCAGAAGAATTTGTAATTTTTTTTATTAATTCAGTTTTTATGAAGTTGGTGATTTTTTTTCCTCAATGATTTCCGCATTCTCTTTTTGGGTTTGGCAGGCACACTGAGAAGGCAAGCGGTAAGTAAGAGATATATGAGAGACTGATTCCCATACTTTTGCATTAGCATGCGCACATCACCTCTGCATATCTTAAAATAGAAGTTTAGGTAACAACTTAAAACATTATTTCCAAGAAAAAGATATGCAAAAAAAGGTAATTATGTAAAGTAACAGAATAAAGTAACTAGATAAGGTGACTAGATTAGTAGCAGGATAAAGTAACTAGATAAAGTAACAGGAAAACAATAAGATTTTTAAGTTTTTCGAATGATATTCTGTTTGTTGTAAGTTTTACGGAATTATGTATATGGAGGAAGGGAGAGTTATGATATGGTGTAGATAAACAACAGATGTAATTTAGTGATAAAGGTTAAGAATTCTCCTTTAAAATCTTCCCAGACTACTAATTGTTTAATTACCCAGTTCACATATTTTTTACTTATAATTTTTATAAAATATTTTCTGATTTACTTTTGGTGCGTTTCGTATCTTAAAATACTCTTCAGAAATTGAATTTTTAGGTAAAGAGTTGAATCTCACCCTTCTCCTGCCCTACAATGTTACAATTTACAATACAATATTATAATGCTCCAAAAATTCTTGTATTTAGCGTATCTTTATTTAAATCTAATTATATATTGGTTACTTCTTTTTAATTATTTATATGAGACATAAATATATCTATTTTTCTCTATTTAAATGGATTCTACTCATTCGTCGAATCGCATTTAAAGTCTTCACATCACGATTTATTAATGGATTAGGAATTTTACAATCAATTTGTGAAAACTCCTTCCTGAATGTTGTTAAAGAGATTCTTGAGAAAAATTAAAACTTCTCCGGTCCCTGGGTGGGACAGGATCAACTTTAAAAACTTGAATATGAACCCATATTTCTTTATTGCAGATCCTGATTCTCCAAAAAAAGTAATCCTGTTTGAATTGTAGGTTTAAGCATCTTGCTTCACAGATGGCCCTGCAACCAAGAAAATTTAAAAGAGTGCAGACAGTTTAAAAATGGTGGTAACTCGAGACCCTTTAAACTGAAAATAAAAATATCGATAAGTTTTTTTTTTATCTTCTCAATTTGCTGGGTCTCGAGATTGGCTATTTTAAACAACTCGTATCATATTTAATTTTTCTCGTTTGCAGCCCCTTCTGTGAAGCAAAATGCATTTACATACAACTCACATGGGGTTACTTTTTTTTTTTTTTGGAGTATCCGAATCTGCAATAAAAAAAGGGTTTATATTAGAGATGTCAAAGTTTTCTCCACCTCGCTCTCAGGAGGTGGGAGTGAAAAACCGAGTTCGATATCATTGAATAGCTTTTAAAATATATTGAATTTGTCTATTTTCACTTTTTCAAACAGATTTATATTTCTCGAGATATTTGACTGTTTCCAAACTTTTTCTTCACCTTGTAATTAACTGTTTATTTTAAAATTTAACTGTTAATTTTAAAATATTTTCTTGTCACAAAATATATAAGTGCAAAAGTTTTCATTTTACATTTCAACGTTATAACAGATACAGCACTGACTTGACTTGAAAGTTTTTAATATTCTGACGGGGTCAATTTGCACATATTTATTCTTAGCTTGCTGGTCGAGTCTTGTAGGCGTACGGTATAAATTACGGTGTTTCTTTCAAAATGTAAACCGATTGGAATAATGTTCCTTTCCGATCGCTCAAGCTGTCAACTATGATCTAAAATTAGTTCCGAGCTGCTCACAAAATACAACAGTTCTATTCTTCTCATTCTTGCCAGAATAAACAGTCTTTCATAAGATCGTAACTGGGCTATTTAAAATTATTTATTTGAAGCTATTTATATAAATATTTTTTTCTCTCGATATTCTATCATTTTCTTACAAAAACGTATATCTTAGTATAGGATTCCATTTATGTGGCATGGCGATACGATAAAATTCGTTGATTAATTTTGTGAAATTATGCAGTTTAACGGAACTAAAACGATGGGTTAAGAAATAATACTTGACTGTAATTCATTGCATTATTTTATAATGTATGAACTTTAGCACTGTATCATTAATTTATTGCAAATATGTAGTCATTTAACTCGGGGCGCGAAATTTCCATAGGCCGTTTGCGATCAAATGTTTAAGGCTGGCAAGTAAGTTTCATTTTTTAAAATGTTGAGTTTTATAATAAACCATACACACTTAGATTATCGTGCCTCAATAAAACAATGACCTAGATGAAAATTATCAAAACCAATGCCTTATTTTCAATTTTTGCAAATTTTTATGAGCCCAGATAATACAGCATTAGAGTTAAGTTTTTAAATATTAAAAAATTTGACCGCAAACTCTTTTTATTTTTTCAAAATTGTGGTTTTCTCCATTGACGATTTTCAGAATAAACATAGAAGGCGCTTGCTAAAGATAAGTTAAACTTGATCTAACAGTAATGAGTAACTATTGCAAACTCATAATTATGAAAATAACAAATTGTTCGAAAAACAGCATTAAGTAAATGTAATTTTTTATAACCCAAGAAGACTGTTTTTTGAAAGCCCGAAGTATTATGAAATGTTGCTCTTTTGCGAATAATATGCTATTTTTATAACTACTCTGATTTAGCAATTGTTACTCATGACTGTTGGTCAAGTTTAGCCTACCTTAAACCAGAACAGTTTACGCTTATTTTGAAAATGGCTCAAAACGTAAATATGGCGTTTGTGGTCTGGTTTTTTAATATTTAAAAACTTACTCCTATGTTGCATTAGTTGGATTCATAAAAATTTGCAGAAATTGAGAATAAGGTCGCCAAATTGGCGATTTTTCAAAAGGTTTAATAATTTTTAAAATATTTAAGTTATTTGTCTCTTCTAAGGCCCAGATAATTCTTCACGTAAGATTTATATAGACAGTTAAAAATCATTTCATTGCTTCAAATGTAAGGCACTTAAACTATAGCTTTTTTATTTACTTGGCGACAGAACATAACTGTATCTGGCGGACCGACCCAGGAATATCATTCACTGTCCCATTCAGTTAAGCGTTATCATGCAGTAATAAAAGCAGAATTATAATAAAGGTGTGTGTGCACTACTCTATCAAGGAAACTTTTTGCTTATTACACAACCACCTCATAAATTGAAGGGTCTTAAAAGAAACTGGAGTAAATTTTTGAAGAAAAAAAAAAAGAAAAATCGTTAAAGATCTAGTCTAATCAGAATTAGGTCATACTTATAGAAATATTTCACCTAATGCCTAATTATTCTTACTTTTTAAATCTGTGGGGGGAGGAGTTATCGACAATGCCAACCTTCATCTATCAAAAGGTACCTCTAGATTGATTCAAGTTAGCTTGTCTTATATACTAGTGAATTGATGTTTAATTTTCGTAGTGATAGTTACGCCACCATACTCCCCCACCAGAATTTTATCAGGGATAGAATTCGATGAACGGATACCACTAGTTGCTGTACTTTCTAAAAGACCGGGATAGCTGGATTAAGGTCACTGGGTTTCTTGAGTGCTGAATGTGAGAGGTGTATTAAGTTCACGGTCGTAGTTGCTCCTTTGTCCACAAATCTACAAGAATATTGTTTTAATTATTGTCTTAAAATTTCTTCTATTTGTTTACAGGTGGATACGGCCAAATTAGTGAAACAATGCATACGTTACACGAGATGACGCAAGATGATCTTGGAGTTACGACGGCACAATTAGAGGATAATTCCGAATATGTATTGGAATCCATTCCCAATCATCCCACCTACATAGAAAATAGTCCAGAATTTTATTCACCTTCCAATGTTGTGATGACCCAAGACACAAAATATCAAACACAATACGTTAATCGACATTACAGAGGTAAGAATAATTCAATCGTTCTTGTTCTTATGCTAGATATTTTCATAGGTATAGCTTAAAAACAGAGTGTGAAAATATTATGGTTCAGCAATCAAATGAAGGATTGTTACTATTTTGCCCCATTTAGATATCCCGCTTGATAGGATGCTATTTTACATTGCCAAGCAGAAGCTTTTTGTACAATTTTTTTTACGAAACTCAATTGTATAGTCTACACTTGTCTCATTGTAACATTTTATTTTATATTTTATAACCGTCATTGAACAGCCGACCCAATTTTGGGTTTAGGACTACTAATGTTCAACTCCGTAGCCTTGTAATTTTGAACCGATCCAGAAGAAANAGGGTGACATTATTTTACTTTTGGTAACTGATTTAGAATTCACATTAAAATTTTCTAAGGAGGATTTAATAGGATAGTCTGGAGCAAGTGAACCTTTAATATTACTTGCAGTAATTGATCCCTCGACCTCTTCTGATAAAAATTTCATTAATTTTGAAATATCGCTTTCACCAAAATTTTCACGTTTGGCATGTACAATCCAGTTACGACAGATTTCATGAGGAAAAGCACGAAGTATTTTAGGAGCCAAAATTCTTCCGTATGATTGAGTTTTTTCTCCTAAAGCATCTAAAGCCTGTATTCTTCGATTACAATCAATATATAACTCATTTATTGCTGCTGGAGAGTGATTTTTGACAGGTTTTAGGTTTTCTAAATAATCGAGATGAGCCTGTATTATTTTATCTTTATCGCCATATTTCGATTTCAAAATATTCTTTGTTGTTGCATATGTTTCTGCAGTTATATTAATTCCATCAACTATTCGTTTTGCTTCTCCATCTAAATATCCCCGCAAAAAAACATGCTTGTCAATCAGCGATAAACTTTCGTTTTTGTCGATACAGTTTTCAAAACGCTCCCAAAAACTATGGAATTCTTCAATTTCGCCGTAAAACGTATTTATTTTTATTGTAGGCAACTTTACTGTAACATTTGAAGGCGAAGCTGAAAAATTATTTATATTGGCAGCTGTTGGCGATGTTTCAGAAATTGAATTCGTGTTCCGATTCGCTGTTCTTTTGAAATTAAATAACGCCAAATGAGCATATTCTGTGTATCTTTCGCATTCTATTATGTCTTCCTGATATTCTTCATCATTTAAAAAATTATGTATTTCATCGTCTGCCAAGGTTAATTCTTTAATTTTATCTTGTAAACGTTCAATGTTGTATTCCTTTTCAGTTTGTGTACTAGCAGCATCGTTCAATTTCGTCGTTAGTTTCGTAATGGCGGTACGTAGCGTTGTTCGTTTGCGTTTAAATATTACAAGTTTTTCACTACCGGTAGCCATTCCAATTCAGATTTTTGACGAAAGTAATTAAACAAGTTCAGTATGACTTACCGAGTTATTTCGGCACCAAATGTTGGATTTTGTTGAGAGCAAATCAGACTGAAAGTCACGTAGAACAAACTGAAAACTTAAACTTTATTTACATCAAAAAGAATAAAAAACAATAAGATGTTGCCAGCACAGGAAACTCAAACTATCTAACTAATCTCGAACTCAAACCTCAACAACGTTCTAGGACTCAATCTTAATGGTTCGACGGGATGACCTCAAATATGTTAATCAATAAGCAGGCGATATTTTAAATTACGACATCACACACAAAAACGTTTTTTTTTTCTGAATAAACAAACCGTTTATTTGATGGGTTTCAGGTTGAGTCGGATCTCTGACCTCCGAAATATAGGGGGTAGCCGCAATTTGGGAAATATGGTTCCCAATAGTTTGGTCAGGTGCGAATTGAAAAATTTTTGCACACAATTATAAAATTCGTTTGACCAAAGATAAAATTCCCTGCACAAAATTACGTGTAACAAGTTTATAAATTACGTTTTTTTTTTTAAATTTATTTGTTATCCTATTAATTCAAAATGTTTGAGTGTAAATATAGTATAATACGAGGTGTTTTACGCGTAACTGCATATTTTACGTAAAATATTTTTTTAATTTTCGAAATAATCGTCTGCTTTATTTTATTTTATTATCGACACATTACAGTCGACACAATTCTTAGTTTACGACTATCAATGTTGAACTACGTAATCTAATAATTTTAAACCAACCCAAAAGACAAAGGAACTTCTGAATGAAACATTGGAACAAACTAGCCTTCGTGGAGGACTTTTTTATGGAACTAAGCCGCATTTGCGTTAGATGGAGAGAGAAAAAAAACTCCCGCGAATACCTCCCAAGGTTAGCCTGATGGCAAGTGGATTCTAACCCATAATCCGTATAACATTGAGGATACTTTACTTCAGTCGGGGAGTCAACTTGACATGAGTCATACAAAAGACTACTGGTAGAGTATAACAATAATTAATAATAATTTGAAAGAAATAAACCCAAGTTTTATAAACTGTCCCAAACTTTGGTATCTCACATGTGGTTTACCTTTTTATTCATAAAAAAAAAATATATCAATTCAATTAAAAAGAAAATGTGAGTTGCCTTTGATCGCTAACAGAGAATATCAATATCATTAAAAGAAAAATAAACAGTTCAAAACTTCTTGATTTCTTGAAAGATGAATGAAGAAGAATTACAACATTGATTGAATTACTTTCCTTTCTCAATTCAAAGTAATGGGTTCATTTCCATGTTCAGCCATTTGGATCATGTCTCTTTTAAAAATGAATGACTTTGTTATTTTCAATCCTTTATTGCCTTTTCTCCATGAAATGCTAGACACTTGTCCCCAGAAAGAATTTATTTATAGTTGTTGAAATATTTCGCGTTAGAAAACAAACATTCTACTTGTATTATGAATTAGGCCATTAGTTTGATTGCCCATTGATGATGAAAACTTTATTGCATATTTCATAGGCAGACAATTAAATCCACCACCTATAAATAGAGATAGTGTAATTAAAAAAAATATATATTTTAACTTATAAAATAGTCATACGGATTGTGTTCTTTTTAAAATTACCAATCAATATATTTTAAACTATTTAGAATGAGTTTTAAAAATCTAAGATCAGAATGCCACATCTCTTTAGTTTAAATTATAATGAACAAAAAAGCTCTATTTAACACATAAATATTTGAGCATTTTCTACTTCTGGAGGTAAAAAGTTTTTTTTTCCAATTATTTAAGTTTTTATTCGAAATAAGTAAATAATTCAGATGGAAAATTTAATATTTGGTTAGTTTATGAAAACAAATAATAAATAAATATCCAAAATTAAATAATTTTATCTAAGTCATTCTTTTTTAAAGCGATGTCAGTTTTTAGGAAAAAAATAGCGACATTTTTTTTTTCTTAATTAAAAGGAGTCGTCGTTGGGGTAAGAGGCAGTTCTGATTATTTTAAATTTTGATTTCATCACTCTGTCGCGGAACAACGTTTTGGTATGCTTAACACCAAGTAAAGTATTAAAGAAATCTAAAACGTCAAAATATTCACCAAGAACATTTACTAGGTATGTGTCTTCTAAAATTTTGAAGAGAAAAAATAGTAAAAAAGTTAATACTTTGTTTTAACGAACGTTAATTGGTAAGTTTACAACGAGACAAAATTCCCCTTTTATCTTAAAACCATAGCCTATTTTGCCTAACCACAAGGCGAAATAATTCAACTTGTAATGCTGTATGTCCCTTGACGATTGACTTGATGTAATTGCTTGAGTTCCGATTTTGTCAATTGTAACAACAGCTGCTTTTTTATGTAAAAATTTGGCATATTTTATCCTTGCAAGTTTTACAATTTCGATTGCCTCAATTACAATATTTTCAATCTTAAGGTTAATAAAGAATATTATTTATTTCGTAAGCATTACTCAAAACTTCCTGATTTTTTCTTCTCCTACAACTGAATTATTTACTTTACCTGATTAGTGACATAGTTTTTAAGTTTTGTTTGAAATATTTTCACCTTTTACTTTTACGGATATCCGGAGGAAGACTGTCAAATTTCTGTTTGCAACAACAGGAATATGCCTACTCATGGCAAAGTTAACAGGCAAACACGAAACGCTAATTTGAATTGAAACTGACGCAAGTTCAGAATTTAGATATATCTCTTAGTATTTAATAATAAACCAAATCATTTATGCCCTATAGTATTAGTCAAATTAAATTTTACTAAAAAAGGGACAGATCCATTATATATGATTAATATTTTTAGGAATTAGAAATAGGGCGAATTATTCTAAAACATTTTAATCATAGGGGTTGAGTTTGATTGTCATAAATTTTTGTGGGAATAACTAATATTAACAAAAGTACATACAATGCATGTTTTATCACAGACATTTTAAATTATCTGGACATTGATATGTATTTATATTTGATAACAAGCACATCCGTACGAAATATATCATATTTAATGAGAAGAAAAATTTAAACCTTAGACGACGCAGGCGTCCTATTTTTCGGGGGGTAAAGGGAAAAAAATTTAAATATTCTATTTTAATAGTTCAACAAATTTCGCACATAAATAATCGAACGTTCTTCCACCAGCAAAATGTAAACAAAAATATTATTATTTATTGATTTTTTAACATTGGTGAATGTAAATTGATGACGATTCATGATTTTTTTCTTTCATTTGTCTGAAATAATGAGAATTTTAGTTATCCACGCTAACGACGCTCATGATTTAAGCTGAGACTCCAAATGTATCCCCGAAAATGATAAGTGCATTATCAAAATGAAATTTTCGATTTCCTAATCCATTTTAATGATAGAAAAAATAAATTTTTAACCATCAATGTCAATGACACATTTAAAATAGCTTTTAGGAGAAAATTGAGCCCTTTAAATTCAAACAAACTCTACATCCATTGATTTTTTTTTTATGAAAAGCTATATGTATAGCAAATTGTTCTGTGCAGTAATGAGAATTGTTTTCATTTAGGACGATATCCCCACCACGAAATGGGGTATTCAGAAAGTTATAGTCCTCATCACTATGAACCACCATTCCAAACTGTACCTGGCTCAATCCAAACTGGCTCACACTGGTCAACAGAGATAAACCACCAGCATGGTGGTTATGGTAACATAAACCGAGATAGTCATCTAACGCTCAACAATAATCTTCAGAATATGATCGGAATGCAAAGTCCTCTTCCTCTTCCAGGACAGGACAGCAAACCTGTCATACAAGCTGCAGTTCTTGCTGGCTATTCAGGTGAGAATTCATTTTGGCATAAAATGATCCATTTACAATTAACCACTACATATCATGAAACGTTTCTTATACTTCTGGTAATTAAAATTGGCGTTTCAAGGTCACATTTTAAATCTTCCTCGGCTTGGTAACGATGTGACACGCAGCAATGCTTCTCTTTTTTTTTATTTTATCCACACGGCAGTTAAGGAGTATCTATAACTCATAACAGAATTTTATTATAATAACATGCTGGCGTGGGGAAAAAGCGAGATTTGTGGATACCATGGTAACGGAAAGGGAAAATTGCATAACCTTGACACGCCTATTCTATTTACAAAGACTTAAATACAATTTACCAAGCTAAACCTTTATATTTAAGCATTTACAATATCTTTCAGACAGAAAATATATTCTAATTACCTCCTGCGGATAATCGGAGAATTATAAGAGCAAAATCTCCTAATTTATAGTACTCAAATACCTTTGGAGACAAAATTTTGAATTTTTTAAGATTTTTGTGTATATTATGCTTTATAGCATGGTATGAATACAAAAAAAAAAATTGAAATTATATATATATATATGCATGCGCACACCTTTCTTTACACATGGGAACTAAGCCCGACAGAATAAATGTCAATGAATAAAATTAAAATATATTTAGAAATATTAATGTGTTACAAAATAAAAAAGGAAATGGCTTTCATAATAATTTTCCGTTGATCAACCAGGGAAACTAAAATGTCTTTTCCTTGTGATGAGAACCTTTAAGATAAGCAATAGCAAAGAATCAGTTTTGAGGCTTAAATCTATGAGTAATAAAATGGGAAAAACATAAAAGTAAAAAAACTGTGTTAGACGCATATTAATATTTCCTTTGCTTTATTATGCATGATGACGAAAAATAAATTTTTTGTGGAATTTGACAAGTTTTGGGTTGACGACAATTAAATTAAAAGTACTTTAGGCGTCGTTAACTGTATGCCGAAAAGTTTTCTCATTAAAATTATTGAATGTATACAAAAAAATTATGGCAGTAAAAATTTATGGAAAAAAAATTTCAGCGCAAAATAACAATAATAAAAACATAAATAATAAAAATATTAAGATATAAATAACAAAAATATATACATTTTTCCCACGTACTTTTGACAAAACAAATTGTAAATTATGTTCTCAAATTCATTGTTAGAAGATTAGTCAAGTCGTTCGCTTCAAATATGACGGGATAACACCTCAAACAATTAAAACTTTAGTTTTTCAAGCAGTTATGAAATGCTTTGTGGCCATAAATAAGAAATGTTTATTTTAGGACATTATTTATCATATAAAGCGATACATACGTGATAGAATGGCTCAGATCATATTATCTGAATTATTTTTCTCTGATAAATTTTTGAGATTAAAAATTGCAATTACGTATTATTTAAACAAGGAGTGGTTGGTCAACATACTGGCAGTTAAGATTAAAATAGTTTTTTTAGTACTTTATATGCATACATGTGAGCGATATTCAAATCCCATTCATATCTTTGTCTGGCAATATGCAAGTTTCTATTTTCTTTTATAATTTTTGAATATCTAAATAGTCGTTAGAAATATATTATAGGATAGCCCTCTTTATATAATAGGATAAAATTTTAAGCAGAAAAATCACTATTTCATCTCTTTCTTTAATCAACGCTTTAGAGGCTAAAAATAGGTTGTTTGAAAGCTTCAAAATGATATACAGCAAAACATAGCTTTTAAAAAAAATAATAAATAAATAAAATGAAATGTTTATAACTAATCTATGACTAATTTTTTCATTACATCATGATATTTACTGCTTTTTATCAGTAAAGAGAACGTCATACCTCGAGAGAAACTTTTTATCGCAAATTCTCTTTCACCACGATGAATAATTTGAAATTTAAAGTATAGAAAAAGTGAGCTCAGGCATACCTAGAGTAAGCGATGAAGTTTCAAATACTGAAACGAAATTTTCAAAATATAAAAATAAAAACAAATTATGAGAGGATAACTTAAGATTAAGTTCTCTTCCAATAATTTGTTTGCATTTTAATATTTTGAAAATTTTTTGTCTCCATAACTAAATTAAAATTTAATGTATAGAAAAAATGGATTCAGACATAACTAGAGCAAGCCGTGAAATTTCACATACAGAAAACAAAATTTTAAAATGCCAAAATAAATTATGAAAAGATAATTTAAGATTATGCAATGAAGAAGTTCTCTTCCTATAATTTGTTTGCATTTTGATATTTTTTTTTTCAGCATTTGAAACTTCATGCCTATCTCTAGGTTTTCCTGAATCCACTTTTCCTTTCTTTTATATTTGTAATAAAGGAGAAGGAAAAGTTACTCCCGTGGTATGGCGCCGTCTTAACAAAGCTCTTGTTTTTGGTTCTCAATTTAAATTAATGTTTTTTTTTGATATCCATTCCATGAAATCTGAAACAATATCTGGCTCTGGCTATCATCAAATTAAAAATTTGAGCACTTTGGAAATTTTCTTTTGCATATATATTTGAAAATCATATTTCAAATAAATCACCAATACTTTAGCAGTGTCTTTAAGGACACTTCAAAGTTTTTATCTGTCCTAAAATTCATGATAACAAAACCATAGTCATTTATTTGCTTTGAAACATGGTTATTAAATACAGGGTTATTCATAATTCCCTCCGGTGTTTCGAAGCGTTATAGTAAAAAAAAGGAACATATGAAATTATTCCGGAACTATTCAAGTTTAACTTACATACATTACAGGTGTTCTATGTGTGAACCCTTGATCACACGGCATACATCAATGTGATAGTCCAGTTCCTGCCATACTCTACTCAACATGGTACTGTCTATGCACCATACATGTCATGGTACCATCTACCGGCAACTGCTTAAATTAAAACTTGAACACACTTTCGGAATAATTTCATATGTTCTTTTTTGCCATATTCGTCTTCGTTTTTTTTATTATAACGCTTCGAACCCCCCGGAGGGAATTATGAATAACCCTGTATAAATATACATGATTTTTTTTTTGTAAAATATTCGAAACTAACTATTTTTTTATGCCTTTATAGGAAGTGGTCCAATACAATTGTGGCAATTTCTACTAGAACTCCTCACCGACAAATCGTGCCAAAACTTTATAAGCTGGACTGGAGACGGGTGGGAATTCAAACTCACAGACCCGGACGAAGTGGCAAGACGATGGGGTGTTCGTAAAAATAAACCAAAGATGAATTACGAGAAACTCAGCCGAGGACTAAGATACTATTATGACAAAAATATTATCCATAAAACGGCTGGGAAACGTTACGTTTATCGTTTTGTCTGTGATCTGCAGAACTTGTTGGGCTATAGCCCGGAAGAGTTGCACGCAATGGTAGATCTTAAACCCGATATCAAAACAGAAGAATGCTAAGTCACACTTAGTAAACGGGTTACAAGTTTTATTATCTGGTCACATAAATCATAGACATTTGATACTTACAAAGAATCAGACCTTGTGTCCGATACAAACTGTTTCAATTGTGATCTGTTTTGAGATTTTTTTTTAAAAAGGCAATATTCTTGATGAACTAATTACCGAAAATATTCTAGTTAACATCGACAGAAACAGAGGCTAGTCAGGTACTTGTTTCTTTTGTACAAGAAAACTACAGTATTCGCCTGTTCTGTCCTGTGTTTCTTTCCTGTCTCTCTTTGAAGATTATGAAGGGCTTGGGGTTAAATAATTATAAACCACATTTGTTTAAGAGAGCTTTAAAGTGGTAGAAAGAGTGTTGAAAAACACCAAAAATTGTACTGTTATTAAATGAAAGTATTGTGCTGTTATCAAATAAGAGATTTGTTAAGTGCCTATTTGTTAACCATACATTTTGATATAAAAATATAACCTTTAGAATGTGGCTTATCACTATATTTCCCCTAAGCCCTCTTTTATCATTTATGTTTGTCTTGCCTGCAAGTAATATTGTTGTATATATTTTTATTATTTAAGGAACTGAACTTTATATTTCATCATTCTTTATAGAAAATACATTTATAAGTTTCATTAATAAGTATAATGTTGATTGTTTACAGTGGTTAACTAGTCTGTTTGGATGCACATTTACAATTGCAAAATAGTAATTTTTTTAAATATTTACAAAAAATGTAAAATTTTAAAAATCAATCTAACATTCCCAATTAATTAAATAAGTGCCTTTTTTATAACTAAAAGGTTTAGAATTATAAATATTTTATACAAATTTTTTTTAAAATTTGAAATAAACAAATGATATTTTTGATAAAATGTTAATAGCTGTGCTATCTTAAAACATTATGTTTTACAATTATTTATTATGCTAAAAATAAATACAGTATTAATGTCTGATGTTGTAATGAACTATTTTAGATAGAATATTTATAATTTGTTATGAAAAGAACTCATATTTATAATGAATTTTTGAATCATAAATTAAATAAGTCCTGAAATTTTGTGCTGAAAGATGAAACTGAATTTGCAATTAAATATAAAAATATTTATAAACATTACCAAAGAGTTAAATCTTAAAAAGTGTTGTATTTTATTTAATGGTGCTCATTTTTCAATCGTTTTGTAGATATGAACAAATACGAGATGTGTTTTTTCTTTCTTATGTATACATTTATCATACAAGTGCACATATGTAAATAAGACACCCCTTATATTTCTCCTTATTGCATATTATAATTTTACTTGTTTATGTAATTTTGTTTGTATGTTATAAAAATTAGCGGTTTACAAATTCCAATAACTAGGTACAAAATATTGTTATTTTTTATTAGTTTCTAAATTGGCTACACATCTATCAAAATTGTTTTGTTAGTAAATTAATGCATGTGGCTAGGACTGGGCGATATTATATGTGCCTAGTTTTATAAGTGCCTTGTTTTAACATAGTTATAACAATGTTACAGATTTTTAAATAACCTTTATAAGTAATTTAGTAAGTTGTTTCTGTTAAAGGTAATAAGCATAAAATATCTCTTTCTAACTGTGAAATTTCAACTTGAAGTCTCTCAAATAGGATTCTTATATCTATTTTGAAACTCCATTATATCTAGCAGCAAATATTTTTTTAATTCTAAACTCTTTCCTAATTTAGTTTTTTTTTTTTAAATTTTTTCCTCCCTAAAATTTTATTCTAAAATATTCTTTTGATCAAGCTGAAATAATTTACTACTATGCATATAACATTTTAATTATAAACAATTAGTTTCATTCATAAATTTTGATACAACATTAGTAATAAAAAATATTATCAGTTTATAATTACCTAAAAAAAAGCATATTTATTGAATTAATTCCCTATTATATATTTTAAACAAGAAAATTGAATTTAAGTGCAATAAATGATATTAAAAAAATTATAAGGCTAAATTAGTCGCAGACCAGAAGCAAATGCGAAAAATTATGAAGTAATGAATTTTTTTTTAAAACAATGCTCATAATTTAGAATTGTTAGAAAACGTTTGTTAAAAAACATTGTTTACATTCTAACATTATAGTTAGAAATGCCAAGATAAGTGAAAGAAGAAGTAAATCCTAATCACTAAAAAAAAAAAAATTACTTATTCCACAAATGTACAAAAATAACAATGTTTTTTTATGAACTGGTCATGTTTTTTTAGTGAATTTCAGCATTAAAATTTTTATGTTGTCAAAATGATTATGTCCTACTTTTATATCTTTGACTGCAAGTTTTGGCAAAATCTTTAATGCTTATCATCCTTACGTTTTAATTTACTGCCAAATAGACAGTTTTTTTTTTATGTTACTCAACAATTGTGTGTTGTTAAATTCACATAGTACCTTCTTTCACTCTGATTTAAAAAATCCATTGATTGTTTTAATAGTTTTTGTACTTAGGCAGTAAAAAAGACCTCTTACGTCTCATTTCTTCTATCATCATTTACATTTAGTCTATATAATTTTTGAATAACTTTATATACTGGATATTAAAAAAAAATATATACTTATTTCATAGCTTTTTTATCTGGTAAATTTTTTAATATGTATTTTTAAATTTTTTTTTTTTAGTATAAGTAGTAAATAACGATTTAATCAACAATTTTGAAGTATTTTTAAATATAATAATTAGTTTTAAAATATTAAGCACAAGTAATCTGTGATTTAAATCTTTTGCAAGCTTGAAACAATAATTGCGTTAATTTTTTTAGTAAGGGTAGTAAATAACAATTTAATCAAAACTTTTGAAGCGTTTTTAAATGTAATTAGTTTTAAAAATTTAGGATTAAGTAATCTGTGATCTAAATCTTTTCTAAGCTTGAAAGACGCACATGTTTCACTAAATTAAATTTTTTTAAAATGAAATCATGGGAGTGTGTATGTATAGTTGTTGTATTACTCATTTCACATCATTCATGATGTAAAATATGTGCATGTAAATTTTTTTTTCATGCCTGGTCATCAATTTTTTTTTTGATGTTTTAATACCAAAGTGTCTTACAGAAATATTTTCTGAATCTTGTTACAAGTCACTGTTATATTTGAAAAAGAAAAATTAAAAATAATTTTTAAAGACTATGTATGTTGCATTTATTTGAAGTCTCAATTCACTAGAATAATTGTGAAATGTTAAGGCTGAAATATAATTTTTTGAGGTGTTTTAATTTTAAAACTACCTGAAAGTCAAATAAAATGCTCTATTTCTAAATAAATATTCACCATCAGAATTATAATTTGCAAGAATAACAAATATGTAAATATACGAGTGTTTTAAACAAATATCAAACAGTATAAAGTATTTTAAATGGGAGACCAGCAGAAGAAAGCAAAAAAGATTTTACTGAAACTATTCTTCTTAACAGAATTTTTTCCTTGAAATTCATGATAAAATTTTAACTCGATTTTCGAATTTCTTATATTGAATAATAATAATAAAAAAAAGTATCTAAAAATATCAAACACAAAATATTTTAAGTGGTACTTTCAGGGAAAAAACTAAAAAAGATTTTAAAAAATTTCTACCAAGAAACATAAAAAAAACTAAATAGTGACTATTTACACAAATATTAAACAGTGCAAAATATTTTCAGTGGTACAATCATAGAAACAAACCAAAAATGATTTTTCAAAGCAAATTTTTAACTTTTTTGTTAATTTTTACTATCAAAGATTAAAATAAAACATCTGTCTAAGAAAGTAATGAATAAATCACCTTACCTAAATTCAATATCTTCAACCTTGTCCAGTAAATAGTTTTTTCGAAAAGGGAATGTACATATTGTTTTTCTTTCGTATGCATGCACTGTCCAATTTTAAAATTCTTTCCACCATATTTGAGTCCTATAGGCTTCGCCTATTTTGAATTGTCCTAGCAAATATAATAGCCAGCTAGTTCAGATGTTGCTGTTGCCATAGGCCATTAAAGCACCGAGGGAGCGATTGTTCTTGTTTTTCAGTAGTGTTATTTATGACCAAGAATTTGACTTCCGCCTCACCCGTTTATAGGGCGGACCCATTCGTACATCCACAGATCGTAATTTTGACCTGAATCGGAGAACAATTTCCAGTCCAGTACCCCCAGAAGCATAATTTCTTATGGGAACATGGAGGACTTTGTGACCTGGCAGATTTAATAAGCATGAGTCACCATTTACTACATGGGGATTCTTTGTCTGGCTGGATTCGAACTCCTGTTCTCATGAACATGAGTCCAGCGCCCTACCAATCAGGCTATAATAAGCAAAATTAAAAAACCCAGATCTCAAAGTAAACTTGCCATATAGAGTAAAATGGTAATTATTTCACAACATACATTTAATTTCATACAATTTGATGAATTATATAGAGAAATAAGAAAGATGTTACAGTGAAAATGTAAAAATGTTTAAAATATAAGTTAAACGGAAAATTACCATATTTAAATAAAAATAATTTATATTATTGAAAATTGGGATTTGAATTAATAATCAAATTTCTGATTTGCATATTTTCCAGCAAAAGCTAACAAGTATTTCTCATAATAATACATAAAAGTAGGGGAAAATATGTTCAGAAAGTTGCTTATTGATAAAAAAGCAGAACAGACATAAAAATGATGAGAGAAAGAGATTAATAATTGGAAAAGTGAAATGAATTCTTAGCTATACAAAAATTCCAAAATAGAACATGAAATAGTGCACTTCAGTAATTTAAAAGTTGATAATATGTGAATGCAGAAAAGTGTTAGAACAAATTTTTTTTTTTCTCTAGAGAAAGAGGCTCTTAAGATGGAACTAAAAACTAATGAAAATATAAATTAAGTACATGCCTAGTACGAAAACATAATTTAATACTTCATATTCTATCAGATAATATAAAGTTTTAAATGTAAACAACTTTACTTACATAAATACTTAGGCTACACATTAATTTCCAGATTTTTTTTGATTCTTAACAACATAAAATTCATCATAACAACATAAAGGTATTAATTCCCTCTAAAATATTTTTGTATCTCAAATATAAAGGTATTTACCTGTAACATTTATTTTTCTTACTTTACTCTGCTACATTTACATTTTTAATTTTGATTGTTATCTAAATTAAAATTTTAAAACTAAAAGAGCTGGATTTTTTTTTATTACGACATAATTCTATGATATTCCCTTATTATGCAACATTTTAAGATAAACTTATTAACTATTTTAATAATATTTTTTTGGTGTAAATTACATTGATATGCAATTATAAATTAGCATTAAAGAAATTGCTTAAATGACTTTCAACTTGACAATTAGCTTCATGCACAATGTTATGAATGCACAAATTATATATTTGACTGCGAAAACAATAAATTATGTTTGTGAACTCCCAAATTTTGTTATAACAACATACCCTTTAATTTTTAAGTGTTATTCTAACACAATGATTGTTAAGCAAATTTATTTATGTTCAGTAATAGATCTTAATAGAATCATAAGATCTTTTATAATATTTATTAATCAAATAGAACTAAAAATAAACATTTAATTAAAATAAATAAATGTTGAACGTGTGGGCACACCCATAAGGAAACAGAATTCTTTATAGTACATACATTTTAAGTGAACAATTTCAACTTACATAGAAAAACTGTTTTATGTTACGAAACAATTATTGCAAAGCTATCATTGTTTGCTAAGAGGTTAACATTGTTTATTAACAACATTTCAGTCAACAGGAAGTTTAGCCCCAAGTAAAAAAATAACACATCATTTAAAACAAGAATTAAACTTACAACTAAATCATTTTCAGAGTAAAAAACAACAAAAAAAAGTAAGAATGATATTATTACACTACCAAGATCTCCATACATATAAGTCTTGCAAGATAAACTGTAACAGTGCTCGTAAGACTTGGTTAGATCTGCTGATAAGTATAAAAACATAATTATGAGCCACATATACTTGATAAATTGAAGATATATGTTTTTACATTATCGAGTAAATCTTCCCTCTTCAGTTTCTTAGAATTATTGAATTGTTCATTTAAATATTACATGTAATATGAAAAGGAATGTGAAACTTATATTAATTTTCAAAGTTGAAAAAAAGTAATTAAGAATTTATTTTGTAAGCGAAACTGTGACACATTCGAAATTCGCTGAAACAAAAGAAATATAGTATTATCCATGTAGTATTACAAAGACAAATAATACTAATGTTTCACAGTGACATCATTACAACAAAATCTTTTTGCTTTACAGTTGAGCCTTTTATGAACAATAATAGAAGATAGTTGATGCTGCAGGCTTGAAGAGTAAACATTCTGCATTTAGTGCTTCGATCATATTTTTATTTACTCTCGTTTATTTCAGTTTTATTTGATTCAGTCCAAGGATAAATTGTTATGAACAGGGAAAAAATATCTACATCGATAATTTATCAAAAAATATTTATGTAGAAACTATAAAAAATTATAATTATCCTTACTTATTTTTCTTGTAAGATTAATAGTGTTAAAAAAGTTATAGCAAATTGCATTTTACTTTAGGTTTTAAGAATTTTTTTGTTTGTTTTTATTAGTTGTTTTGTTTTCTTTTTTTCAGTTTTAATGCTTGAGAAGCATTTTTTAACCCCTCTCCTCTCACTTCTGTCGTAGGAATAATGGGGTCTCCTATTTCTCGTGCCGGTGATATTTCCGGGCTAGACCGTTCAAAAGTATTGCACCATAAAGTTTTAAATATACCCATCTCTTGTGCCTGGAATTATTTTATTTTTCATTTTACAAACTAGATGGTAATTTTTTTCTTAAATAGTGTACATTATGGAGTTAGAGTTACATGGACATATAGAGTACATACGGAGTTTTAAATTAAAAAAAAATAGGCACTGTTATGAACATTTTCCTGAAAATAATAAGATTGTTAAGAGGTTAAAGAACACTCAAGTATTTTAAATAAAAAAATAACTAAAAGATTACAGCAAAATTCATAAATTCACTTAATAAAATATTAAAATCTTAATCAACGAAAAAAGAAGCTTATTATTACCATATAAGGACACTGTTAGGACAAAAAGTGTTATTTTGTCTTTCCATTGCTTTTTTGTCAGCTCTATACAAAATTAACTATAGAGAGAAAACTCTTTAATATTTCTCTAGGCAGTATTATACATGGTTAAAAACGACATTCACAGATAATATTAAAGTGAATGCTTCATATAGATTCAGTTGAGCTGTTTATGATCTACTGCAATTTATAACCATACATCAAATGTATGCAGATATTCACTTTCACAATAAGCACAAATGCTTCCCAAACACAGCAAATAACATTTTGACGCAACATTTTTTAAAATCCTTAACATTGTACATGAGTATGCCAGATTGGAAAGAATTATTTCTTTTTCCTGTAAATGAAATATAATTCACTTATTTTTCATTGGAGGAGTAAAATAATAATAATAGAGATAAAAATAAGTTTATGCCTTTGTATTAGAAAGAAAAATTAAATATTTAGCAAGCTTAAAATTTTATGGTATAAGTATTTGTTTAGTACTTCAGAAACATTTAAAACTTTTATAAAACAAGGTAAAACCATGAAAAATGTCAAATAAATGCTAAAAATCACATAAGATGAGGATTTTCATTTATGTTAAAATCAAATACTGTTTTAAACTTTCCTTACATTTTATTTTCAAACGAATTACAAAACAAATCAATGATTGAGCAATGAAGAAAATGAGAATGAATACAAAATAATAATCAGTACAATGAAGTACTGTAAAGCAGGTCTGAGATTATAGATATCACAGATTGATCTCAAAAGCACCAATACTTTTAGATAGTAAGAAATCAAGCCTTTTAGAATCTCTGCACAGTATTTTGGTAGCTTTCAAGCTGTGAATTCAGTTTCATAACTTTTCTACTCAAGTTATTACTGTGTTGTTTCAAATAGCGAATCATATCTGCCTGTTTTTCAAGAATTTCTTCCATGTAATCTTCATCTCTACAATAATAAAAAACAATTAATAAAAAAAAAGTCAAAATGAAATTTATCATACTGTTAAATAACATAATTGAAAAAAAAATGTTTTATTGGATTTTAAAAATAAAATTGCAAAATGCAGAACAAACTTAAAAATTAATTATATTTAAAATTCATGTTTTTAAAAAAATCTGATTATTTTAATATATTATTTTTTTTTAATATTTACCAGCCAAATCATCTAATAAAATATATTAACAGTACTTAATAATATTTTAAAACAATAATAAAGCTAAAATAGTTGATATTTCTAACTTAAATGTTCCAAATATTATTACTTAATAACTACAAATTAATCACTGAATCAATAAAATCAATTTCTGCGCCAGGTAAACATTCCAAAATTTTAAATACAGGAAGGTAATTTATCACTTGGATATCCAATGAAGAGTAAATTAGTTAAGATCAGAATACATTAAAGAAAAAAAAAATATTATAAGTTTATCTTTAATATAAGTAAACACTAACAACATATTTAATACATTTTAAAAGCACTTATAAGTATTCAAATAAACATCAAACTAAATTGGTATAGTTGAAATGTTTTTATTACTAGCAAAAAACATTTTACAAACAACTAATGGAAAATTATAATTTAACAGCTTAACATTACTCTTATCCATTTTAAGTCTCTAATTTTAATTATTTACTAGTCTATTTAGAAATATAATAATAATTTTCCTGCTTATTATTTCTTTGGATTAAACCTTCATCATTAATAAAATCAAGACTTTAATCAATGTTGATTTAAATCAATGATTTTTTAAAGAATCAAATGATTTAAACCACGATTTTAATTACGATTCAAATCGAGTGATTTAACTTATGCCAACCTTAATTATAATATTTAAAACATGATAACATGGTTCAAATATAGAACATGGTTCAAATATAGAATAATCTATGTTACACTATTCGAACAATGGAAGAGTTAAAAAATTTGTATGGATTATAATCAGCATTCATTTTCCAGCCTTAACAAAAAGCATTCATTCATTAAGCTTTTTTTTAAAATAAATTTTAAAAAAATTCTTAGAGGAAATTTGTTACGTCAAATTGTAATTAATGTACTTTAAAAAAATATTTTAATACATTGATTTCATTAAAATAATCTTAGATAAAGCTAAACCAAAACAAGTAAGCACATTTTCATTGTAAACTTTGGTAATTGAATCAATAAACATAATTCTTGTTCAGCTGATATGAAATTAAACAAATATAATACATTTTTCAAACACCCATTTTATAACATTCCACCTTTTTGGATAACAATACCCCCAGTTAATACAAATAGAAACAAAAATTTTTATGCTTAACAGAAAGATACATGATTAGTTGGATGGATTTTCTTGCTTGGATGATGTAATAAAAAGCAAAATGGTGTGACAATAGAAAAAGTCTTTAGCTGAATGAGACAATTGGACTGACTCATGTGTCTGCTAAGACAACTTTATCAAGAAGTTAATTTTTTACAGTTATTACCTATCTTTTAAAAAAAGAAAAAAAAATTTGGCATAGCTGCTAATATTTAAGTGTGTCTTTAAGGTAGTATTCAAGCGACAAAAAGGAACTGCAACGTTCATGAGCCATATTAACGAGGATTACAGGAAGAGTCTCAATATAATTTAAATTAAGACTTAGTGTAAGGAAGTATAATGGTTCGTGGTGATTTTAAAAATCAAATAGAGCTTTGTATCTCATTTATGCCAAACAACTTCCTTTCTAAGATATTTGAACAATTTTAAAGTCGTCAGATACTTTTTATAAGATTTTAAAGAAAAGAAAAATTACTCATTGTTATTCCTGAACAATAATGTATCAATATAGAAAATAATTACCAGCACAAAAAACTGATTAAATTTCCAGATGTCACTAAAGATGTCACCTACCCTGATTACAATATCTTTATGCTAACTGCAATCAGGTTTTCATCCAGCATTAGTTAGTATTCACCAGACGGTGGCACGAAAAAATCCACACACTTCTGACTACAAACCAGCAGGGAACTACCTTTCTGCATGTAAAATAGCTCAAGCCTCTATGTCAGAAGGGAGATTCCTTCACCAGGGTTGTCAGAGATAGTAATTTTTAGGGACCATAGAAAATTAAACAGCTCTTAATGCTCCGAAAGTGTTGGGATTTTGTAATGAAATATTTTAGGTTTGTATTAATATTATTTTTTTAAAATTTAGTAATGAGAGTGTTTCAATTTTCACTTGCGAGTCATTTATTACTTCAAAATCAATGTAATAGCCCTACTAAAATAATCAGTTTTCCCATTGTTTAAAATTTGCTCGCAATCGCAATAATCTTTTCCAATAATTGTTGTGCTTGTTAATTGTTTGAGCTTTAGTAAGCACTTATAATTTATTTGCCTAATTAGAACAGAAAGAACCAGAAATAAGAGAATGATTATTATTCGACTTAGTAACTTTTTTTTATATTTTTCTGTACAATAATGAAATACATTTTCTAAATTATTTAAATTCATATTATTTTAAGACTAATAAACAAATACTAATGAAAAGTTAAAATTAATAAAAGTTATAATGATATTAAGCTGTACATTTATCTCTTATTTAACGATATTTTTATTATGTTCTCTTTTGATTATAAGGATATTTAATGTACAAATCGTTAATTATATATTTGTTTAACTATTATTGAGCTACATATAAAAGTAAAAGAAAGATGAAATATTTTTGCAACAGCCCGCTGTGGGCAAGAGGGGAATCATGGAGGTTAAGGCAAAGAATATGGAAAGGAGAAGAAGTCCAGCTCTTCGAATAGTAACTAACATGGGAAACTGCTCGGTGCAGTATGCTAAACCAGAAAAACAACTTAACAGGGTGAGCAACATTTAGCAGAGCATCAGCATCATTTGTACTAAGATCCAACACAGGTGCATACGAAGTAAAGTCACTGTGAGGATGTATGTCACCGGTGAATTCTCCTCCACGTATGGTTGGATACGCTGCACCACCATTTTATTTGTTCTTACCATGTCAAAATATGTTAGTAGATTTAAACAATGTGGATGGCATAAATATATTTTCATAGAAATATCTTAAATACTGTTTACCAATAGTGTAAAATTGCAGCATAAATTAATAACAAACAATAAGAGAAAACTTATTTCCTCCTCAACCCCAGTAGTGGTTGGCGCACCTAAATGTTGTTTGTGGCAGTAGGCATTGTTCATAGTGCTTTACTTCTTAGACTAATAGGTATTTAACTTATTTTGTCATTTTAGCCATTTTTGCTACACATTTTGTTAAATAAAGAGTGAATATTCAATAAAATTAATTAAGTTTACACTCAATGTATGCAATTAAAATAATGAATAGTAAATAATTGTTTACAACTCTGAAGCAATAAAAATTAACTTTTCACATTATTTTTAAATAACCTCTTCAATGGAATATATTTCACGAGATCTTCACTTATAGTATTTTAAATTAGGTTAAACTTTCAAAAATAACTATATGGATGAAGTTGCAATGGTAATCTAAAAAAGTGAATGTCTAAATTTTGCCATTTAGTAAAATACTTTCCCCTGCATAAAGTATGAGCAATTGTGTGAACTAACTTTGGGGAAGACCACAAAATGCTTATATGACACTATTTCAACACAAACCATATGTACTTTTCATTTATTATTTTTTTTAGTCATAATGTTGAAGCTAATTTTTGTGTACTTTACATCATAGCCCATGTGTGATAAATACAAAATTGGCAATAGCATAGCTGCCAATATGGATAGAAAAAAATCCAGTAGATTTTATGAAATATAAATTTCATGATGATTGATGCATAATGCACTAAATATTTTACACATAGGGAAATTTTAGGGATTTTTATAGTCATCAAAATAGAAAAACTGCAATATTTTTCAGTTATGATTGACAATAAACATACATGAAATGTTATGTATTGTGTTTACTCATAATTTCGAATATTTATGAACATTTAATTCATCAATTATAGTTAAAAGATTTTTTAATTAACTTAAAGAGAGAGTTCTGATTAAAAATAACCGGAACATTTTAGATCAAAAAAGTTTTAAACTGATTTCTATAAATGAGGTTCACTTCGTTATGTATTAGTATTATCAAAATATTCTAGCAAACAAGCATCTGTACAAAAATTCCATTTCAATAGAAATTTTTTTCAGGAAACTTACTCAATTTTAGGGAATTTTCTAAAATGCACAAAAATCAGTAGTCAACTGGAAAATCCAGTAAAGTTGGCAGCTATGCAATAGCATAATCACACAACTATTACAGACATTCTAATGGTAGAAACATTTGTATCTTATATATAAAGCATGACATATAAGTTTAGCATAAAAATAACTAAAGACAAAATGAATTTTTTTTAACGTATATTATACTTAAAAATACTTCGTATACAGACAATGATCTCATAAAAATCAATCGTAATTTTCTCACCATAATAAAAATGAAAAAGATGATCGTTGCATAATATCAAAAAAAAAAATAAATAATAATAAATGCTTAAAATGTCAAGGCTTCCTTAAGGTTCCCCCCACTTCCCAAATGAGACTGTCAGGGGTCATCTAATTGATGCACGGTTGTTGCTGAGTACTCTCAGCCTTAGGCTATAGAAAATGTTTTGAGTATTGAATATTTTCACATAATCAATAGTACAAATTCATTCAAGATACTTGAATAAATTTGTAATAGCAAAAAAAAAAAGAAATCATTTGAGACTACTTAAAAAAAAGGAAAAGAAAAATGAAATACATTTGATCAATTTGCATTTTAGCATTAGTTTGAATTACGGTAACACAAATTAGTAATAGTTACAAATTTTCACTATTTAAAAAAATTAAAATAAATAAAATTTCTGACTGTGAAGTTATAATCAGTGACAGGCACTCCTTTTCAGTTTTACTGTTATTTTTTTGTTTTTTGTCATGGAAATCAATAATTACGAAAAAATATTGTTAAATCTGATACGAAGCATTTAAAGAATTCTAAAAAAATATAAGAAAAGCATTGCATTCATTTAAAATAAATGAAAATTTGAGTGAGACTACAATTTTATGGAGATGTTATTATAGATTTATTAAGCGATAACATTTCCCCACATACTGTAATAACTCTCTTTTATAAAGTAAATGATGAAATGACGAGCGTTTGTTGACAGTTCCTTAAATTTGGGAGTTCTTATTGGATAGATTTTTAAAAGTTGGTTACTTAAAATGATAAAAAAATATAAACATATAGTAAAGAAATTAACTGTAAATTCAAGAATTAACTGTAAAAAAGTTTTTAATAATTCTAAAATCTTAACAGTTACTTAACAGTTTATTTTATTAATTCTAAAATTAAACAGTTTTTTATAATTCTAAAATCTTAAAAATAAATCAATAATAAAGTATTTTCATAAGGAAAAAATTAATACTATCATATTCAACTTTTTAAAAATCTACATAAAAGTCTATGACTAATTTTAAAGTAAAATAAAAAACTTAACTTTTGGTTTAAACGGCAATGCATTCTTTAAGTAGACATTTATACACATAACCATAAATATAAAATAAAAATATTCTCATCTTACCTAAATCCTACTTCATTGGTGGGAGCATATGATTGAACATAACTTATTAAAAGGTCATCCTGCTGGACATCGGGAATAGCTTTACTTTTATTAAACTGGATTACAATATCTGTTAAAAGATTTAAACATTAAAAAAAAAAAAATCACATTTACAGGAATTTTTTCTTTTAATTATCAAAATCCAAATAAAAACCTTTATCAAGAAAATCAACAATGCAACTTTGAATCCCAAATAAATAGTTACGAGCCCTAATAAAATTTATAATGTATTTCAAATTATTCTAAATTTTCCAATACTAGGAGGCTTCGCCCCCTGCTCGCTAGCGCTCACCAACTCACGGAACTGCTTTTGCAGTTCATTTCGGATTGCTTCGCAATCCAATGCTCGCTCATTGGATACGTTCTTAACGTCTAGTTTTTGTAAACTTTTTTGAATACTGAAGTTCCGAAAACTTTTCACTGTAGAAAATTCTGAACCTGTACATTTCAATATTAATTTGAAATTGCAAACAGTTCACATATTTTTCTTAATCACACTATTCTAAATTTCAGTTGTTGAGAAAAGTAACTGTTGTAAGTTTTGTTTTAAAGTCTTTCCCACCCATGTTGTAAAACAATATAAAATAGTAGTCTGCCACTGAACGCCGGATGTAAAGTAAAGCTCAGATCAAATTTTTGAAGAAAAACATCTCTTCACTCCGAGCCCTTAGATATTAAAAAATTATTCTATAATTATCATATTTTATTTTTAAAACTTTTATAAAGGAGAGTTAAATTTAGGGAAAAATTAAGCAAACTAAGGCTTCAAAGCAAACTAAGGTTTAGTTCATTATGGATTGAGTAATATTCTTTTAACTATAAAAATTTCACAATTGAAAATTATGTATTAATTTTGACATACATTTATAACCAATAGCCTTTAAAGTTATTTTCATAATGAAAATAACTTTAAAGGCTATCGGCAAAAAAACTCTTAAAAATAAAATGTTTAAATAGTTTAATATCCTTCAAGCTCACAGAAAAAAATTTATTAAATTCCTTCATTCTCAGAATTTTCTACATTACATGTTTAATAAACAGAAATTGTTATAACCATTATAGACATATCTGGCGATTCTCAGCATTTTAAAATTTAAATGAAATTTCTAAGCATTGAGAGAGAACAGGATTATTTGTTCCATTTAGAATAACTCTTAAATGCATGTTCAAAGATTTTAGCCTCATCCAAAGATTGTGTGTTTGTGATCCATACAAACTAAATTTGAGATGACAGTTTGAGAAAGACAGACTTTATAATTTTCCTTTTCAAATATCTATCACATAAACAAAATTTTAGGGAGGGAGAAGGAAAATCCGAGAACTTGTTTTATGATAAAACTATTTGTTGATAAACTAAACGGTGAATTTGTGAAGGTACTGCTAAATGGTAGTAGATCTGCCTATAAATTTGTAACTTTGATGTCTGAATTTTATAAGCAGAGGAAATAACATTTTGTTATACTTTCAGAAGAGATAACGTCAAATACAAAATAACTCTCAAAGTGGAAGTATTTAAAATAAATCTTACAAGTTAGATTTCTTTTTTTTATATTATAGAATGGACTTAAATACACTAAAATGTAAATATTAAGGGGACCAGAAAGTAACGTCGTTACGACGCATTAAATATTCGTTAGTCTTAAAAACCAATTAGGTCATTTTTTCCGATCTAGCATTGAAAGATTGTTGCTAACAAGGGTGAATACATTGATTAAAAATAAAATCTTGACATCAAATGCATCGAAACGACATTACTTTCTGGTCCCCTTAATATTAACAATCTGACATTAAAGCAGGGTTCGCCAAATGGGCCCACTTTGAAAAAACCCGCCCGGGTTTTATTGGACGGGCCCACCTTGAAAAAACCCACTAGGAACGATAAGTGGGGTTTTTCAACAAAAAAAATTTTTTTTTTACTAAAACTTATTGGTTTGCATCTACTTTTATATAATTTATTGTGCAGCATAAATTTGACAAATAGAGTTGCATGATTTATATGATTAGGTTTTTAATATTAGTAAAGTAAAAGAAACTCTAATCTTCATATAATTTTATAGTAGGTACTATTGAAAACTTCAAGTGGGTTTTTTTAAAAAGTATTATTTTAATGATACTAAATCAAATAAAAATGTAAATAATATACTCTGAAAAGATCAATTTTTCAAATATAGTTGCATGCTTTATATATTAATAAACAGGTTATTATTATTAATTCATATGTTTAAAAAAATTGAAAAGAAACAATTTTTATCTTTTTTTACCAAGTGATACATTAACAAATTTAAACAGTTTTATTTTCTGGCTTTAAAAAAAAAAAAAAAATGCTAAAACTTTTTATCAGAGAACTTTTTAAAATTATTTATCTAAAAATGAAATCATTTTCCTAGGGTTAATTATTTGAAAACAAATGGGACAAGTAACTGATACTCTTTATAATTATACGTAGTTTTAATTTCACTTTCTATTAACCTTATTATAAAAACATGTAAGACCATTAAATATTTATTTCAGTTTTTTATTTAACTCAAGTCAGATGAAATTTTAGTTTTTACTGATTATAAATATTTACAGATTATAATTTTATAATAGGTAATATCCATATGTTTAATAAATATAGTAAATAAATGTGTGTGAAAACAAAAAGATTAATAAACTTGTTCCTTTTATATTACTGCATTTATATTTTATAATTCCTAATTTAAAAAATTATGAAACATAATGCACTTAACAATAAAGAAGATTCAAATAGGTAGTGATAATGCGTTATTTAAACTTAATATAAAATACATATAACCAGGGTTCCCCAAGTGGGCCCACTTTGAAAAAACCCACTTGGTGTTTTTTTACAAATTGGTTTTTTTAAATTTGATTCAAAAAGAAGTAGCTCCTAATACTATCATTGGACACATCGTTGAAGCTAACAAATATTTTAGAAATGTGCATCAAGCACATGGATGGGCAAATGAAAAAAACTGCTTGATGACCCAATGACACTAGGTGGAATTCATATTATGAGCACGTAAAAACTTTTGCCAATAATTACCATAAATATGAAGAGATTGTTCTTGAACATCAAAATGAATCTAATAATAATATGTCAAAAATATTAAATAATGTTGGGCTTTACCAATAAACTATCAATTGGGAAAAACAGATATCAATTGTTTCTTAAGCTTTAAAAAAGCTTCAATCAGAAAACATTTCAATTTCAGAAGCTGTTGAAATATGAATTAACTTACTATCGTGTGATGAATTAGAACCCCATAAACATTTTGTAAAAAGATTCAATCAGGCTGTTCAGCCACATCATTTATTAGCATATGCATCCTGGATCCCGAAACAAGGGGACAATTTTTAAATGATGAACAAGACCAATTAGCAGAAAACTGTCTTTCTAAGCGCCATCCAGAATTTCTGCCACGTGTTATGGCACTCAAAATGTCTGATCCTGAATACTTTCCAAAATCGATGATGCTTGACACTGTTATTCAACAGTTTTCATCCAAAAATGGTGGAAAATTATGGCAAAAAAAAAATAAAATAAAATAAATAAATAAAATTCCTAGCTTCCACAAAATTTCTGTCACTTCTTTTTTCTTTGCACTCAGCACCAGCATCTTCTGTCTCTATCGAAAGACATTTTTCAACTTTCGGTTTGGTGGAGAGTAAACTTCGAAATAGATTAGGAATAGATAAAGCTACAAAACTCATAAAAGTGTATCACCATCTAAGAGAAAAATGTAGACACTTTGAATCTGTTGTAGGATAATAATAATAAAGGAAAAAATGGACCTTTTTTTTAAGTTAACTCTTAACATCTGCTGACAATTTTTAACTATTTGGAGAAAGTTTATCACAATTAAAAAACAGTTAAAAATTAAAATATTACTTTTAAGATTTTTTAAATATTATTTTTAAGATTTCATTTGAATACAATTTATTTTGTTTCTTTTATTCATGTTTAAAAATATTGAAAGAAAAAAAAAAAATTCTATTGAGTGATACATTAAACAATAAACAAATTTAAAATTTTATTTTCTGATTTTAAAAAAATAAGCTATAACTTTTTATATACGCTTTTTTATAATTTTAAGACTAATTTGTCTTTTGAAACTATAAAGTTAAAATGTATCTAAAAATGCATATATTTATCTAAATATTTAAAAAAAAAAGGACAAGTAACTGATACTCTTTATAATTACGTAGTTTTAATTTCACTTTCTATTAATCGTATTATAAAAACATGGAAGACCATTAAATATTTATTCCAGTTTATTTTTTTTACAGGTAAAAGTCAGATGAAATTTTAGTGTTTACTTATACAACTCTATTTAATAAATAAAAATATTTTCACAGTAAAATTTATGAGCACTAAATGAAAAAACCCAATTTTCCCCGGGTTTTTTCAAATAAAACTCAATTTCCCCCGGGTCTTTTCAATAAAACCCATGCGGGTTGGTTTATTTCAAAAATCCCCGGGTTTTATCAAACCCTGCATTAAAGTATTAGAAAGACTGTTCTGATTGTAAATATTAATCAATAAATAAACGTGTCCATAAATATAAACAAATACAAGTCATCAAATTGGAGAAAAATAGAAGGAAAGACAGTAAAATTATTTGTAAATTAAATGTACAAATGTATTTTTAATTCTTATCAACAATTTGCTATCATAAATATAGTTGGTTCACATTCTATTTTATAGCTTAAAATTTATAAACATTTTAAAATTAATAATATTAATAAAAAAACAAAACAAATCAAACAAAACCAAAAATTTAATGCAAAATTCAAGATAGCAAGAGAAGAACGAACAGACACATTTCTGTAAATTGAAAATTTTGAATAACAAAATACAGTTTTAAAGATAATATATACTTACAAAGATATTTAAAAAGACAGGCTAAAAGGATAAAAGCTTCAATGCCAAATATAATTTGCAAATAATTATGGCAATATAAACTTCCATCAGAAGGACACCTTTTCATATCTGGACAATACTTTTGTAAGATTGATGTTACTACAATTAACAGTGTGTTTCCTAAAATATCAATGCAAACTATCAATAACTTATTTACATCATCAAAAGTGAAGCAAAATGAAAGTTAATCAAATATTAATTTAAAAATTCGATCAGAATCTTACTTTTTTTTTCTTTTTTAGCTTGAACTGTTTTAATATTTGTTACATAAGAGGGGAAATAATTTTATGGTTAAGAATGTAACAAAAAAGAAATATATATATATATATATATATTTTAATGTAATAAAGATACCGTTTCAGACTTCTTTGGCAGTCAAAAAGGCTTTAATATAAAAGCAGAAAATATTCTGAAAATTTGTGACACAGGCAATAATAATAATAATTGTTTAAAAAAATTACTGTAGCTGACACTACAGTTACAATCAAGGCCTGGATTTTGATAAGATTAATACAGTCAAACCCCGCTATAGTGAACCTTCAAGGGACCGAATTTTTGGTTCACTATAACCGGGAGTTCACTATATCTGTTCCGCAGGCAATTTAACTAATGGTTCCCAAACTCCTCCCTTTTATTACACACTATTTTAATAAANATAGTGAACCTTCAAGGGACCGAAATTTTGGTTCACTATAACCGGGAGTTCACTATATCCGTTCTGCAGGCAATTTAACTAATGGTTCCCAAAATTCCTCCCTTTTATTACACATTATTTAAATAAATGACTGAAAATAATTTTTAGTAGCGAAAAATTTGTTATTTTTCATTACTCTTCGTTTTGCTTACAAAAAAAAAAAAAAAAAAAAATTTAGTAATCTTTAGCTGATGAGCAATCCTAACAGAAAATTCATATTGATCCATCCCACGTTGGAAATATCTGCTTGGTTTGTTTAGGGATGGGAAAGTGAGATAAAAGAAGCTTATCACTAAATTCCCCTCTATAGATGGTTTTAAAAATCAGTATATGTATTAATTTTAAAGTAAAAATTTCAAAATTATTACAAAAAAAATGAAGAAAAAAATCAGTTGAAGACAAAAAAAAGTTCATTATATCCAACTTCCTCACTTTTTTGGTTCACTATATCCACAAAAAATAACATTATACGTGTATAGCAAGGCACGGGACCTAACATTTCGTTCACTATATCCGGGAGTTCACTATAGTGGGGTTTGAGTGTATAATATTTTTTTTTTCTCTCAGGGCATTTTAATAGATTTCTTTTTTCAAATTTTGAAAGCTTTTGGGTTGTTTTTGTATCTAATAAATTGGAAGTTTTCTGTTTATTAAAATTTAAATACAAAAAGAAAATCCTCAAAAGTAATATTTTTTTTTTTAAGATATAATATTTATTTTAACTTCAATGAACTTATTTTAAGCTTTAATAGAATATGCATTGCTTTGATTTATAAATGTTCACATGAATGAAAGTAATTTTAAGAAGGAAAACATTGTTTTAATTTAACACTTTTACTTAAATAACAGGGCATTTTTTGCATTTTAATGAAATTTTTACACTTAAAAAGTGTAAAAATCTAAAAAATCCCGAGTAGTCTAAAAAATCCAAAATTTGGGCTCTAATTATTATGGAAAAAATTAGTATTGTTGTTGTTGTTGTTCATTTACGTCGCACTAGAGCTGCACAATGGGCTATTGGCGACGGTTTGGGAAACATCCCTGAGGATGATCCGAAGACATTCCATCACAATTTTGATCCTCTACGGAGGGGATGGCTCCCCCGCTTCGGTAGCCCGACGACCTGCGCGCGAAGTCGAGCACTTTACGGTAGAACAGTTTAACGAGGACCAATACCGCACACCCTCGGTCCCTACGCAGACTGATCCAAGTGGTCACCCACCCGCACACTGACCGCAGCCAGTGATGCTTGACTTCGGTGATCTGCTGGGAACCGTGTCTTAACGATCAGTCCACTGCGGGACAAAAATTAGTATTGATTTGCATCATTATAATTTCTCTAAAGATTAATACAATTCTTAACATCCAGTATTAAAATGTGTATTACCACGTTAAAAGAAAATATACACAGTATATGAATCACTTACCAAGAGATGGAACAATTAAAGGTATTCTTTGCAACAGCTGTGTTTTTCTGAAGAATTCTAAGTAACCACATCTTTGTATATAATTGTGATGATAATTTCTATAACCACTAGCAATAAACAATAAACACCAGTAGCATGCATGCACACAATTCAGAATATAACAAGCATCATCTTCTGTATAATATGGCACTATAAAAGGAGAGGCTAACAAACCAATCTAGAAAACAGTAGAAAAATAATTTAAAAAAAAAAAGTATTGTTGTTTTAAAAAAGAAAAACTTAGATTAATTTTGCATAATATTACTATGCTAGGATTTAATATATTAATAAGATTAAAAAACTTGTGATAATGTAAGTAAAAGGCAAAAATGATGCTTAATCTTACAGATAAAATATGTATTTATGACGGGCAAAATTGGATTACTACAGATATTACTATGTTTTTAAAAGTGCTTTCATTTATTTAATAAGAAATATTTAAAAATTACATATCCTCCCATTTCTGAGATGTTAAGTTATGTTTACAGTTCTGTAATTAATTACTATATGAAAATACATTTAGAAGTCATTTAAATGAAAAATAAGAGCTGTTTACAAAAATGAGTAATGGGACAGTACGTAAGTACTATAAAATATATTAAAAATTAAAAAAATAAGCTAATTTTGAAGCTACACTAAAGCATTATCTTCAGAGTTTAATATAGAAAAAAACAAAACAATGAAAAACATTACAAAAAAGCAATAAAAAATAGATGAAACAAAATTCAATCAGCCAATAAGAAAGAAAAGTTATAAGACCAAAAAAAATAAATAATAAATAAATAAAAACTACAGAGGTTGGATTTGTTAAAATAATGCAATAAAAAAAATTATAATACCATCATAAGACTAGAAAACAAAAGACACATATTATAAAATTTAAAAGAAAGTGAAATTAAAACATAAAAGCTCCTTCCGGCAGAAAAGAAAAATGGTTTGATAGAAGAGTTTTTAACTGTAGATTTATTGTTTGAGTTGATATGATAGGTCTCTTAAATCTCTAAGTTTTTGTATGAAAATTTTTCAACATAATAGTAGAATTAGAATTTATAATTCTTAGATAACGATCACAGCGATATAAGAAGAAGGAAATTTTGGATTTTCAACATAATTGCTATGCTTTTTTAGTATGGATTTCAGAACGCCGCTTGTTTGAATATACAGAAAATAATATAATAGTTTGAATACAATAGAAAATAGACTATATCATAAGAAATTTAGCGAATTTCCCAAATAGTTTTTAATTTACCATTTGGGGAGGGCAAATTTCATTCATAGTAAAAAAAAATGGTTAAAACAATAGAAAAATAAATAAAAAAATAAATATAAAAACATTTTTTTTAAATAGTTTAGAATTGCAATCTTAATATAGTTGATTTTATAGAACTATTTTTAAAAAATTTATTTCATTATGCTTGATATTGAAAATAAATTAATGTAACAGAAATTTAAAAAAATCATCATCATAAAGGTTGTGTAAATTTTAAAATTTAGAATAAAGTTAAAATAAGCATAGTAAAAGTTTGTTATAGCAACTATTTTTAATAGCAGATAGAATAGCTATTATGAGCAAATAAGCATAATGTCAGAGAGAGAGAAAAAAAAGATTGAAGTGCAATGGTTTGCATCATTAATAATATGCAAACCATTGAACTTCAATCTTTGATAATATTGAATGTTGATTTCATTGATAATATTGCATCATTGATAATATTGAATGTTGATTTCAGTAGTAAGCTGTCAAGAAGGGAAATATATTAAAGACATGTATAGTGAACAAAAAACATTTTTTTTAATATGTTGCACGATTTCTAACAATAGCAGAATGCCATGGTGGTTGAATCCTAGAGTTTTTACTGAAAAATTATAATGTTTACTAAAATGTAATTACTGCGGGTATAGGCAAAAAGCACTCTTGTTCATTTTTTAAAAGAAGCTGCAACACTGACATACTTAAATGAATTTTTTTCTTCTTATTTAAATAAGAGAGTAATAACTGTTTTTAAAAATCAATCTATATGAGGAAAAGTATATCATGTGCTCAGCAAACTAATGTTGAATTATGCATCTCTCTATAATAAGTAACCTTATTTTTTAATGCAGTTAATATTTGGTTGTTACAAATATATCATAATATGTTCAAAAAAATAAATTAAAGTTAACTTTAAATTAAAGTTAACTAAAAATAAATTAAAGTAAACTTTAAATATATTAAAGTTAATAAAAATTGTAGTGAATGTTAAATAAAACAAAAGTTTTTTTAAAACAAAAAATAGTAAAACTTCATTTAAGTTCATGCAATTAAAATCAGCATAAGTTAGGTCTACAACAATTGAACTGTTCATCGACATTTATAGTAAAACTGCCGACCATTTCTCTAGAAAAGTTCCTGGGTACGTGATTATATAATATTTGCACCATCAGAAAATAGTACAATCTGGACAACATCATATATTAATAATATAAATCACAATTACCAAGCTGATCTAAAATCAGTAGAAAGAAAAAGTATAAAGATGAAAACAAATATCAATTAAAAAGTTAGAATATATAATTTATTCAAAATTGTGCACATAGAAATTTAATTAAAAGTTAGATAATACTTACAGTAAAAAGAATTTCAAATACAATAACCCATGTTATAGGTATTCGTCTATAATTAGGTTCTTCATTTGAAATTAATACACTTGATACTAGTGATGCCTCATCATTTTCATCAAAAAATTGAGGAGAGTTTGAATTGAATGATTGTCCCTAAAAAATAAAAAAAAGTTATAACTTTCATGTATGTTAATATGTTATAAAAAATATTATTCCAAGCGATAAAAATGCTTATTTACATAGTGCAACATAAAAGAAAATAATTTAAAGAACATAAATGCTATGAAGTTATTTTTATGATATCTTGGTAATGTTCATGGGTGTTTTTGTCAACTATGAAAGAAATTTGCCATGTCATCCCTGTTTTGTTCACATACTAAAAGTTAGATTATTGAATTGGGATATGACTATAGGTTTACTTATTCTATAGTTTTCACCATAAATTTTACAAGTTAAACAGCTAACAAGGGAAACTAGGGAAGTGTGACTCGCCAATTTTGAAATAAACTAGTGGGATGTATGTCTTATAAGGAATAATTTGAAGGGGCAACATTCGTTTCGGCCCATAGAAGGTTCTGTGAGAGATAAAAAATAATTTAATATACAGAAAAATCGGTATTTTATTACTTCAATGCATACTATTAGTTATTGTAATTGTCTCATAATCCAATTAATTTATAATAAATTGGATAATTAATTAATTTGCTAATTAATAAATTAATCAAAAATTAATTAATTATTAATTAACTATTGATTAATTATTAATTAATTATTAATTAATTATTTGATTTGAAATTACGTACACCAATTAATTTGGAAAGTTTTTCGAAAAAAAAAATTCAAAAAATTTGGTGTCAATTATTTTTTTAAATTAACCTAAAAAGGTTTTTCTGAAAAACTACAGATGTATAAAATTTTCGAAATCAATTTTGACAATAAATATGCATTATTTAGTACGTGAAAGTACCACAAAATTAATTGGAGTAGGAGGCAATTATAATAACTAATAGTCTGCATTGAAGTAATAAAATACCGATTTTTCTATACATTGAATTATTTTTTATCTCTCACAGAACCTTCTATGGGCCGAAACGAATGTTTCCCCCTAAAGTTATTCCTCATAAGGCATACATCCCACTAGTTTATTTCAAAATTGGCGAGTCACACTTCCCTAGTTTCCCTTGTNTAAACAGCTAAGTGTCTTTTTTCTTTTTGAAAGTCTTGTTAAACTGAACCATAATAAAGAAAAATATTTTGGCATTCTCAGCTTTATAATAAATTAAGCCAATTATCAAATTAAAGGAATAACATTGAGATAAATATTTTTTGGTATTAACCTTTCCCATTACAACTAAAAATTTAATGCATATTTCTCACGGTGACATTGTCACAGAACTTTACAGAGTCTTGCAGAAAGATTTTTCTTTTAGGAAGTAAAAAATTTTGGTTTGCTTTTCTGTAGAAATTTAAACTTAAAATTTGAATCACACATTTAAATAATCACTTTTTGAAGTGTTCAATCGCCGTTATCGTAAATCCTCTTTTAACAGTATTTTAGGCAGTTATCGACATTGATTTTCACATTATCGATATTAGAATTAAAAAAATATTAAGGAATCGGTTGGATAGCTAAAAAATTTATATTGTTTTTCTGTTTATGTAAACACACCATTTTTTTTTAACCTGAAATTAGTAACAAGCATGCTTGTTATTATTGAAAGTATCTTGCAGAAAGACATTTAGTGCTAGAGAGTTTTGTTGCAGAAAACAGGAAATTTTTTTCCACAGGGCACATTTTTTAGTTCTGAAGTAACTGTATGTGCCTGTGATGCACATACCTCACAACACTGAATTACTTTGGAACGTAGATACCATAATAAGAAGGGATGTAAATGTCCTTGCAAAATATTTTAAGGTAATTATTTTAACTAATTTAAGTCTTTATCTTCTAACAGCATGGGTATAAGATCACCATGTAAGTAGCAATTTAAAAAAACACATTTCTCTTTTAAGTACATCATATTATTCGTAGTCACCTCCTTTACAGTTCAAAATTATTTTTATATCTCTTTATTTTCTTGCATACACCATCTAAAGAACTACCCTTTAAATCACTGGTTGTGTGATAAAAAACATCAATGAAATAACAAGACTAAACTAAAAGATTAATTTTTAAATTATGCAAACAATTTCATAAGCAACAACGGCAGCCATCTAGCAGAATATTTCCAAGTTTATTCCAAAAACAGATCATCACCAGGATTTGACATGTTTTTTTTCTTTAAAATTAAATTGAGATTTCACTGATTGAAATATATCATACCAAGTTGAAGAACATGAATTTTTTATATTTTATCAATGTCAGCTAAATTAAAAATGTAAGAATCTCAATTTAAGAAAAGAGGTTGAGATACAGGTTTGTGGACTCCTCAATTAAATGAAATAGTGAAATTTATGGATTTTTCTGCTAAACTACTTATTATGTTTTGCATGATTTTCCTTAACATTCCATTTTAAAAATTCCAAACACAAAAAAATAAAAATCTTTTCAGCAAAACGTAGCATTAAATATCTCTAAGTGGGGAATATTTCTGTATTGTGATCTGTCGAGCAAACTACAAACGGCAAATGGATTTCAAACTTACAAATTCTTTAAAAAAAAAAAAAAAAACAATATGTAGATACTTTCTGTTTAATATATATGAAGAAAAATTGCACATCATAGAAAAATTTTTACTTTGACTTAAAAGAAATTAAATTTTTCTTTATTTTAAAATTTTTTTCTTTCACAAAAGAGAGTGTGCATTAATTATATCACAAGCAATATGAAATATATTAATAATTGTTCTAAATTACTATTCTAAAATAAAGAAAAAAGTAAACACCAGAGATGTTACTCAGCTGCTAAAAGGGAAATAATTAAAAATGCATTAAAAAAAAAAGAAATATAGCTTCATTAGTAGTACCAGAAGCGAAATTTCGTAAGCAACTTTGCAGTAACAAGCAAAAAAAAACTTTAAAAAAAAATTAAAAAAAACCACATCAAAGTGTAGAGCAAACTAGATTTAACTAGATCTAGAAACATTTATAGCCTCTCTACAGCTCTATATTTTAAAATTTATTCCAAGTACATTAGCTGGGCAGAAACACTTGAAAATTTCAGTTCACATAAATTAATAAATAGCAACTACTGCATGGAAATACTTCTCTGCTTTTCATTGATTTGATAATTTCAAAAGATAGTGGGAAACTACAGATGTAGATCCTTAGGTTTTTAGTGAATTGAAATAACGACGGGGAGTTATAAAAACTTAATCTTAGAATATAAACTCAAAATATAATAAGTACTAAATAAATAATAGTTAGAAGTTGAAGTGATAAAATGAAAATTTTGTAGAAACAAATGAACATTTTATATTATTCTATGCTTGATAGGTAGAATAAATTCTATTTTATTAGCATTATTAAAACTCTGCTAACTAAAAAGAAAAACTTACTCCCCCGACACTTCTGACATCCTTTCCTAAACTAACCATGCCTTCTAATTAGGATATATGAAGCAAAAGAATGACAATTAATGAGACATAATCAAACTAGGATGACACATTGTTTACAATTTTCATTTTTATTTTCCTTTTTCAAATCACGTTATAGAATCTATCGATTAAGAGATTGTCAATTTTGATATTTAATCGAAGCGATGTTATTTTTTTCACTGTATCAGATTTTTATTTAAGATCTGTTCTTGCTGCAAGGAATTCTAACATTCCTTCTCCGACCGTAGAGAATGGGAACCCGATTGGTGAGTTTCGCAAGGAAGAATATGTTAGACCTATCAGTTTATCATTTTACTGAATGCAGCGAGATGGTCTTTTACACGAATGCTAATTATAAGAGACTGTACGCTATTCTCAAATGGAATCGAACCTAAAAGTCATTTGCACATGCGCTTGCAATTTCTTTTCTTCTAAACATTCTCACATGAAGTGAGAATGGCCCCTAAGGAACTTCATAAGCAATTAGCGCATTTGCAAAAGGAGCATTCTTACCAAACACGATTGCCGCACCTCCGATCACCGCCCAAAGGGAAGAAAAAAGGAATCTGATTGTTGAAGTTTTTTACGGGAAAATATATTTCAGCAATCAGATTCATATACTTCCTCGACAACGACTGGAGGTACAGCGACCATATTTGGTGAGAATGCTTCTTTAGACGCTCATCTGAACAGGAAGCAAGGAACACTACTCAAATTTATCTTTTGTGACGTAGCAAAGTTAATTGGTAACCGATCATAAAGTTAAAGCGCAAATATTTTCCTTACAAAGCCGTCTCTTTTGCTCCGAATCGAAACGAAACCCGGTTTTAAAGCGTGTAAATAAATTTTCCCTTTCTCAAACGTACACTAAGACCAGATTGTTACGTAAAAACCTGCTTTCACCAATAAGTAAGCTTAAACTTTCGAAAAATTAGATTAGGAAAGCTCAGGTGTACCTTTAATGGTTCCGCATTGGACTGATCGTTAAGACGCGGCTCCCAGCAGATCACCGAAGTCAAGTATCACTAGCTGCAGTCAGCGTGCGGGTGGGTGACCACTTGGATCAGTCTGCTTAGGGACCGAGGGTGTGGGATATTGGTCATCGTTAAACTGTTCTACCGTAAAGTTCTGGTCTTCGCATGCAGGTCCGTGGGCTATCGAAGAAGGGATTCCATCCCCTCTGTAGAGGATCCATATTGTGATGGCATGTCTTCGGATCATCCTCAGGGATGTTTCCCAGTCCATAGCCAATAGCCCATTATGCAGCTCTAGTTCGACGTAAATGAACTAAACAACAAAAACAACCTCTAGAAAGCTTAAATCTGTTACTGGAAATAAGGTATTGTACGCAACAGAGTTACAGGATAAAAATGATCAGCAGACATTTTTTAGAACACTCATTTTTTATTATTATTTTTTGATCTGTTGCCATTCGCAACTCTCATAAAAGTAATATGAATAGTCATGTGACATATGATGTTCCTACNGCTTCGATAGCCCGACGACCTGAGCGCGAAGTCGAGCACTTTACGGTAGCACAGTTTAACGAGGACCAATACCGCACACCTTCGGTCCCTACGCAGACAGATCCAAGTGGTCACCCACCCGCACACTGACCACAGCCAGTGATGCTTGACTTCGGTGATATTGGCGCATTTGCAACAGGAGCATTCTCACCAAACGCGGTTGCCGCACCTCTGATTACCGTCCAAAGGGAAGAAAAAAGGAATCTGATTGTTGAAGTTTTTTACGGGAAAATATATTTTAGCAATCAGATTCATATACTTCCTCGTCAACGACTGGAGGTACAGCGACCATATTTGGTGAGAATGGTTCTTTAGGCGCTCATCTGAACAGGAAGCAAGGAACACTACTCAAATTTATCTTCTGTGAGGTAGCAAAGTTAACACGTAACTGATCATAAAGTTAAAACGCAAATATTTTCCTCACAAAGCCGTCTCTTTTGCTCCGAATCGAAACAAAACCCGGTTGTGAAGAGTGTAAATAAATTTTTCCTTTTTCAAACATACACTAAGAACAGTTTGTTACGCAAAAACCTGTTTTCACCAATAAGTAAGCTTAAACTTACGAAAAGTGCTTTAGTGGTCCCGCAGTGGACTGATGGTTAAGACGCGGTTCCCAACAGATCACCGAAGTCAAGAATCACTAGATGCAGTCAGTGTGCGGGTGGGTGACCACTTGGATCAGTCTGCTTAGGGATCGAGGGTGTGGGATGTTGGTCATCGTTAAAGTGTTCTACCGTAAAGTGCTCGACTTCGCATGCACGTCCGTGGGCTATCGAAGCAGGGGTTCCATCTCCTCTGTAGAGGATCGAAATTGTGATGGCATGCCGACGGATCATCCTCAGGGATGTTTCCCAGACCATCGCCAATAGCCCATTATGCAGCTCTAGTTCGACGTAAATGAACTACAACAACAGCAACCTTTAGATACATGTTACTGGAGATAAGGTATAATAAAACCGGTTGAAGTGAAGTAGGTAAGTAGCTCGAGCTTTGGTAGCTCGACCACCTGCGTGCGAAGTCAATTACTTTATGGTAGAACAGTTTAACGAGGGCCGATACTGCGCACCATCGCTCCATACGCAGGCTGATCAAAGTGGTCCTCCACCTGCTTACTGACAGCAGCCAGCGATGCTTGACTTCGGTGTTCGACTGGGAACCGTGTCTTTACGATCAGTCAGTTTATCATCCTCTGCGGAACTAGAACCGGTAGAACCTCTTTCCTTGCTTTGGAGATAACCTTACATAATACCCTTACAAACAAAAAATTATATTAAAAGGGCCCTATCTTCCAACAGATTTCTCTCCTATCTATTAAATCCATATTTTCCAGATTGGTAACATTCTCACTCAATATTTTGAGGGTATAAATACTAATTCAAATTTGTCAAAAAATAGTATGTTTATTTAGAGTAAGTATGTTTTTGTGTTTGATTTCGTAATTTAAAATATGATCGGAACAATATAGTTTATAAATAGAGCGTTGGGCTTTTGAAGCATCAAGATTGAGTTTAAGTAACTGAAAATACGATCATTAAATTGAAAGTTATTAGAGTTGATTGTTTTTCTTTTAATTTAAATTTTACGCATTGAACTACGAAAATAGGGATATTTATTAAAAAATCTGTATTTAGAATTTAATTTAAATGATGAATCATTCGAAATTAAATTTTGAAATTGTTATTAAAATTTTTATTAACTTCTTTATTTGAATTTTCAACTTTCGAACAGATTCAAATATTTTTAATTTAGAATACAAATTGGCTTTATTGTGTAGAGAGGATTTGGTGGGGAGAGTTTTTGTAAATTTATTAAAAAAAGGTTATTAATCATTATTTTAAACATAACGCGTATTTTTTTTAAATAAAAATTTGAACGATTATCTTCATTTTGAAGGATATATAAGCTAATTAGAGCGCATATCTTCATTTGTTTTTTTTTTTAAAAAAAATGTCTTTATCAACACTAGTTTCACGACGTAGGGCTTCTTTGGATAGGCCTTAAAACTTACTGTTTAATCTATTGTTAGTTATAAAAAAGCAAATAAAATCAAAATGGAACTAATTTTAGTCTAAAAATACAGTCCTGAGTAAATAATCTTAAAAATCTTTTTAATAATTAATGCCAGAGCCTAATAAACACATCAATTTCAACTTCTTCCATTTTAAGGGGAAATCTTCCTTGAATATTTAAATTGATAATAAATGTTACTATTTAATATCTCCTTTTTGGTAAAATAGAGCTGATCTACATTTATTTAGCCCACACAATATTAAGCAATTAAAACAAATATATAAGATATGATGAAAGCGTGAGAAAATTTTGAAATGATTGCCAAATTGAGCTAATTTTGCTTGCCTTAATTATAAATACACCAACTCTACAAATATTGCAGTAATGTACAGTTTCCATTCCTCGAAACATATATTGTATCAGGGTACAGTTCTTTGAAAACTTTTAATAGCAATAATGAAAAGGAGTCAAAGTTCGATGATCTGATAAATGTGTGCTCACCATCATACTGTATTTTGAATAAAAAAAGTACTGCAGGCGAATTAAGGTCTACTAGATCTCTAAACATTTAAGAGGTATTTTAAATGACAAATTATTGCTGACATTGAAGTAAATTTACTACCACTAAAATGTTGTTAATTTTGACGTGTCCACATTAACCCTACCAGTGTGTGCCCAGACTGGTTAGTTCTTTCAAGCTCATTTTCTGTTAATTAAATAAAGGTATATAAAAAATGACTCGTAAAATATTTGATAAGCATATTCATTCATAAAGAAATAGCTCCTATTTCTAAAAATGATGAATAAAGCTAAGGTTGCAGTTAAAACAAAAATTAAGAAGTTACTTTTCAACCATAAAAGCTTTATTTATTTGCAACATAATTATTTACTGTTTTGCCTTAAAACCAGATATGAAAGTGTTACAGAATTTCGTGCCTGTGTCATAATTTACAGAGATGTTTTGAATGATAAATAATGGAAATATTCCATTTGTTTACGCTAGCCCCATGCGGTTTCTAATTTCATTTGGCCACGGAATCTTTAATGATTGATTCTCGTTTAGCAGAACCCCAACTATATTGATCAAAGAGAGACTACTTATTATTTTGAAAGTGGAAATAAGCAATATTTTTTTCATTACTCATTGGTGATAGATTTAAAATTAGGCTTAACGTCAGGGAGTTATATTCACATTTCAGAAACGGCATCTAGTTTAGTTCTGAATTTGAATTCGGTGCATGCATAAACTGAAAATGAATAAAATAAGCTGAATAATTTTTTCTTTTGAAGCAAAAACGAAAGGAAGAGAACTGTTATAAAAGTTGAGTTCTCTATAATTGAATTTAGTTTCATTTTGGACTGAAAAAAATTTATTGAAAATATTAATGCAGTTTTTTCCTAATTGCATATCCTTTTAATAATTTAATCAATATAATGCTTTTTTTCCCTTTAGCTTTTAGCTTAAAAAAATTAATAAAATAACTGAATGATTAAAGAAGGGATATAAATTTTGCTACAGTCTCAAATAACCATAAAGCACGTTTCATTTTTGGTTAAGTAAAGTCTTTCGGAGTCCCTGCAACCGTCCTATG